TTATTTTGATATATCACAGTGAAAGATTTATCGTCCTCTTTTTTTTTTTTTTTTTTTTAAAAAAAAAAAAAAAAAAAAAAAAAAAAAAAAAATTATCATTTACTTTGAATTTCTAAGCTTTTAATGATTTTTTTTTTTAGTTTGAGGTACATATATACATACAATACTGTTTCCATTACTTGCTCATATTCTATGAGTTCACCTACCTAGCCTCATATTTATACATATTTACTTTAAAAAATTTTCTGTTGAATGATTCTTTATACTACTATATTTTTGTCCCACTGACATAGTTTATTCCATAGTTTATTTTTAAAACTTTGTTTTTGTATATGAGGGTTTTATCTGATGTATGTTAAGTGTAGCACATACATGCAATGCCTACAGAAATCAGAAGACTGTCAGATCCCCTGGAAATGGGGGCTGGAGAGATGGCTTGGTGGCTAAGAGCCTGGCTGCTCTTGCAGTAGACAAGGGTTCAATTCCTAGTACCCACATGGCAGCTTATACCCACCTGTAACTCCAGTTCCAGAGGATCTGATGCCCTATTCTGGCCTTCTTGGGTGGGTGCAGACAAACAATCATACACATAAATTTTTTTTAAAAGATAGGCTATCCTAACTTAATAGTGATCTTGGCATCTCTCAAAAATCAAATTTTTAGATTTGACTGGATAAAATCAAATTTATAGATTCATCTGGGGAAAATGACTTTTTTTTTTTTTTGGTCTTTTTGAGACAGGGTCTCCCTGTAGTCCCAGCTGGCCTGGAACTTGCTATGTAGACCAGGCTGGCCTTGAGCTCAGAGAGCCATCTGCCTCTGCCTCCCAAGTGCTGGGTTCAAAGGTGTGCACTACCACGCCCAGCTAGGAAAAATGACATCTTAAAATGGTTGTAAAAATTTCTAGTCAAGCAAGATGGTAGTATATGCATGTAATACCAGCATTCAGCAGGAGTATTGCAAGTTTGGAGCCACCCAGGCTACATAGTAAGACCCAGTTCATAAATAACTAGATTTATTTTTTGTCCTTTTGGTTGTGAGCTTGAGCCTTTAACAGCTGTGACAGTTCTCCAGTCCTCAATTTTTTAATTAAAAAAAAATCACATCTAAAACTGCTATCAATCTGTTCCTCTAGTCAAGTCTTTTTCTTCCTTACAATTTCCTACTTTTGTTCACATTTGTACGTCTTTCCAATTGCTAACACTCTACCATAACGTTTTAAAGTTAACTGGTCATTTGGAATAGACACTTTCTTACACATGACTCAGTTTCTACCAAGTATTGAGTCAATTTTGTCAAACATCTTACAATACAGTAAGTCATTATAGGCAAGATGACAAAGCTATGGTATTAAAATGTAAACAAGAGAATGGACAGAGATATATTACTAAAAGAAAAATCAGAATAACAAGGAAGCCTTAAAGAGAAAAAAAAAAATCTCCTTAGGATCATGATAAGCTATTTCAAAGTAAACAAAGACATGCTTTCATGATGAATAACTCTATATCAAAGTACATAATGAAAAACATCTTAGAAGCAGGGAAAGAGTAGCAGGACACTAACCTATTAACATTACTTCTCTTAGTCCTTTAAATCAGGGTCATAAAAAATATGTGAGCAGGCTGTGTGTGCTGGCACACCCCTTTTATCCCAGCACTTGGGAGGCAGAGGCAGGCAGATCTCTGTGAGTTGGAGGCCAGCCAAGATCCAGGCTAGCTGGGGCTACAGGGAGACCCTGTCTTAAAAAAAGAAAAAAAATGTGAGCAGTGAGAGGAGCTGCAGAAGATAAGTGGCCACTGCTGTAAGGTTTCCTCTGGCCTCAGCTTCTCAGTGCCTCACTCTGTGAACACCTTCTACACTGCCACTGCCCCTACCAACACTCTCCTCAATCTCTTTTCCCAGTTTTTGTCCAACTGTTTTGTTCGATGTACTGTCATCCACAGATTAAGAAGAGGGAGAAGTTACATGTGTTCTCTTAGGGATATATCCAAATGGTTTCAAGTCCACGGTCAAAGAAGGCAACTGCTAAAAATTGGATATATTTTCTTTATCACATCTCTCTTGTAATCAGAGTCAATTCTTTATAAGGATTTTCATATTATAATAATGCTTATCAGTCTTAGACCAGTACAATGAGAGTCTTTAAAATTTTTTTCTAAAACAAGGCAGGTGTGGTGGTGCATGCTTTTAATCACAGCACTCAGGAGGCAGAGGCAGGCAGGTCTCTGTTTAAGGCCAGCCTGGTCTACATAGTCAGTTCCAGGCCAGCTGGGGCTACAGGGAAACCCTGCCACCAACACACACACACACACACACACACACACACACACACACACACACACACACACACACACACACACACACACACACACACACACACACACACATCTAAAACAAAGCTCAAATCATGTACATTAAGTTTACTGATATTCCAAACTGCAAATATGTTAACTTATAATTGAAATCCAGCATAAATGTTCTAAGTGAACACTTGGCTCATGAGATGTACTATAAAGTAATGGTTACAACATGGCTCTAGAATCAGAGGCTAGATTCAAATCCCAGGTCTATGACTTATACAGCATTATAACACTGAAAAAGTTCTTTCGATGTCTATGTAGTCTCATATGTTAATGGGCATAAGAAAATATTCCCCAAAGTTTGCTGAGGTGATTAAATGGACTAAAAATTTTAGAACAGTCCTACACATAATAAATGCTTTAAATAACCAAATCTATTTGTTTTGTTACACTGCTGATGGTGTCACATGATTGCTTGGTATATATCCCTTATATATAATGAGGATTAAGTCCTGAATTTTCTCTAAACCATTTCTCCTAAGTTTAACTATCTCTAACATTAAGTAAGTTTATTCATAACCACTTAATTTTGGTGGCTATTCTGACAGTTATTCTCCATCTATGACTTCCAAATCCACCATTAGCTTACTTTTTTTCAGGAGATGAAGGCAAAGAATCGAGACAGCCTCAAGCTGTATAAAGCTCGAGATGATTGTTTATTCCTTTGCTAATGAGAAACTACCTCTGACCCCCAAATTAGACCAACATTGTATTATTATTACCTTGATTATAAGTGAGTCTCCTTCCTTATCTAGCCAATCTCAAGCTGAAGAATTAACATGTCATATAATTTAGAAAAACCTTACTGTATGTATTTGTCTATTTTCTCAAATAGTCATATTTACAACTAGTATCCAGATAGCTGCAATCCCATATCATAATTTCCCATCAAGATTAATTACACAATGATGAACAGTGAGTGCAAACACCCAATCACCTTTTGAGAAGAAACATAAAAATTCTAACCCTTGGACCCCACTCACAAAGATTCCAATTTAGTTGGTCTGGGTTGGTATCTGACACTGAAAAGTACCTCAAACTGAAATCTAATAAGGTTGGTAGATTGCATTCATTTAAGTTTTCTGGTTATAAAATTGTACTACTGTTATACAAAATATTACTATTGGGGTTAACAAGGTAAAAGGTAGAGGAGAACTCTGTTACTTCAATTTTTTTCTCTCCAGGCCCTCTATGTTACTTCTTAAGAACTGCATGTGAATCTATCATTGTTATCAAGACAGTTTTGAGGTGGTTTTCTTTGTTACAGTTAACAAGTACAATACTTTTTAATAGTATAATTGTGATTAGTTTGAAACAGTGGTAACTCCTTTGTTATACATATATCTAATGGAGCTAGAGAGATGGCTCATTGGTTAAGAACACTGGCTGTTCTTGCAGAAGATCCAGGTTCAAATCCTAGCACCCACAGTTCCAGGAAATCCAACAGCCTCCTTCTGATCTCAGCAGGCACTGACACAGGTGCACTTACATTCATACAGGCAATATACAGATACAAATAAAAAATAAGCCGGGCATGGTGGCGCACACCTTTAATCCCAGCACTTGGGAGGCAGAGGCAGGCGGATCTCTGTGAGTTCAAGGCCAGCCTGGTCTACATAGTGAGTTCCAGGACAGCTGGGGCTACAGGGAGACCCTATCTCAAAAAGATCAAAAAAATAAAATTATTTTTATTTATTTATAATTTTTGGTAGGTTTTTTTTTGGGGGGGTCTTTTTGAGACAGGGTCTCCCTGTAGCCCCGGCTGGCCTGAAACTCACTATGTAGACCAGGCTGGCCTCAAACTCACAGAGATTCCAGTACCTCTGCCTCCTGAGTGCTGGGATTAAAAGCGTGCACCACCATGCCCAGCAATTTTTGGTACGTTTAAAAAAATATTTGGGGGCTGGAGAGAGGGCTCAGTGGTTAAGAATATGGTCTGCTCTTGCAAAGGACCCAGGTTCAATCCCCAGCACCCACATGGCGGCTAACAACCATCTGTAACTCCAGTTCCAGGGGATCTGACACCCTCTTCTGTCCTCTGTGGGCACTGCACAACACAGATGCACTTATGCACATGCAGGCAATATGCTCATACACATAAAATAAAAATGATAAATAAAACATTAGAAACTATATATCTAATCAGAGATAAACACAAAGGCAGGATTTTTTAATTAAACATTACTGAAGTATAATCTATAAATAATACACCCATTCTAGCAGTTTGAAATTTGATGACATAGTGCATATGCACATAACTATCCCTTGATTCACATGCAGGCAATATGCTCATACACATAAAATAAAAATGATAAATAAAACATTAGAAACTATATATCTAATCAGAGATAAACACAAAGGCAGGATTTTTTAATTAAACATTACTGAAGTATAATCTATAAATAATACACCCATTCTAGCAGTTTGAAATTTGATGACATAGTGCCTATGCACATAACTATCCCTTGATTGAGATCAAGAAAGAAACTTTTTTTTTTTTTTTGGTCTTTTTTGAGCCAGAGTCTCCCTATAGCCCCAGCTGACTTGGAACTCACTATGTAGACCAGGCCAACCTTGAACTCACAGAAACCCGTCTGCCTCTGCCTCCCGAGTGCTGGGATTAAAGGCATGTGCCACCACGTCCACTGAAAACATTTTTATTATTCAAAAAGTTTCCTGTTTTCTTGCTGAAATGAACTCTCTCTTCCTCATCCCAAGAAACCATTGAGACCCTTAAGAAAATGTGGTTTTTTTATTTTAAAAAAAAAAAAAGCAATGTTTTTTTTCTGTTATGCACACGTGTCTGGGTGATCAAAATCCACTTATTAACAATATTACTGTATATTAGTGATTAAATACCACTCTTCTAACAATTTAGTAAGTTTATGTTAGTAAAGTCTTTAATAAAGACTAAGAACTGAATGAGATTCTTATGGTACAAGAGGAAGGAGAAAGCAAACTGGTGGTACGGGTGGAAATTATTAATGGCAAACAAATCTTGGTCAGTTGAAAATATATAGCATGGGGCTGGAGAAACGGCTCAGCAGTTAAGAACACTGGCTGTTCTTGCAGAAGACCTGGGTTTGAATCCCAGCACCCACACGGCAGCTAAAACAACTGTCTGTAACTCCAGTCCTAAGGGATCTGACAGCCTCTTCTGACCTCCACAGGCATTGCAGGATACAGGTGCACATACCTACATGCAGGCAATACACACACACACACACATAAAATAAATAAAATTAAAAAAAAAAAAAGTATATAGCAAAAGGCCAGAGAGACGGCTCAGTTAGTAAAATACTTGACTTGCAAACACAAAGCCTTGAGTTTGACCCCTTCAGAACTTAAGCTAAAAAGCATCAGGAGAGAGATGGCTTGGTATACAAGTGTCCTGGCTACGTAAGCCTGGCAGCCTATGTCCTGGCAACCCTAGAAGCAATGAAAAGGTGGAAAGCTCCCTAGAGTCAGTCTATTGGCAAGTGTCAGGTAGGAACCAAAAAAAGGGGGAGTGGGGATGGGGGACTAGGCCTGAGGACTACCACCTGGGATTGCCCACTGGCCTCCACATACACATGCACACACCAGCACACACACAATACCCAGAGAGAGAAAATACATAGCAGATCCGATCAGAATACCTTTCACCTTTCATGCTAAACTTTCCTGTCTCTTGGGCTACAAAGAAATAGGAGTCTTAGAACATAAACAAGACTGAGGTTGTGTCAGATCATAACACAAAGGTATTTATTTATCATTTCTCACAAAGTCCTGAATGTTAGCTTTTATAAGCATGAATTGACAACAGCAACAGGCAAAAAATTTTTTTTTTAATTTTTATTTTATGTGTATGAGTGTATGGCCTGCATGTATTTAAGTGAACCTGGAGTTGTACAATGCTGGAGGAAGTCGAAGAGGGTCTTGGATTCCCTGGAATTGGAGTTACAGTCGGTTGTTAGCAACCATGTGGGTGCTGGGAATTGAACCTGGGTCCTCTGCGGAGCAGCCAGTGCTCTTAATCATTGAGCCATTCCTCCAACCCCAGGATCAAAAATTTAATCAACTAGTCTATCCCCTCATTTTGCAGATTAGAAATCAAAATTAAGAATCAGAGATAAGGGGCTGGACAGACAGCTCAGCGGTTAAGAACACTGGCTGTTCTTGCAGAAGACCCAGGTTCGAATCCCAGCACCCACATGGCAGCTAACAACTGTCCATAACTCCAGTGTACCTCCAGCTCCAAGTGACTGAACATCTTCACATCTTCTCTGGCTTCTTTGGGCTCCCATACACACAAGGCATTCACTCACATACAGGCACATACATATAAAATTAAATAAATAAAATTTAAAAAAAAAAAAGAAAAAAAAAGAATCAGAGAACTAGTCAGGACCATACTGCAAACTCTTTAATCCTAATCTATGTGATTCCATAGCCTGGCAGAACTACTGTAAGAGAACTAGGACCGTCTACTTTTTTCTCAAAATGTACTGATGTGCACAGCATTTATCCCTTAATTAGAACATGTTATATTGAATATATGTGCAGTTATCAAGCCATTACTCTATGTTCCATAGAGACAATGTTTCTTTATCCTTCCAAGTGTGTTAGTTTGACTTTCATTGTGATAAATATCAAAGAGAAACAATATAAAAGGAAAAAGATTTATTTTGGTTCAGTTTCAGAGGTTTCGGTCACAGGTCCACACAGTGTGTTACTTTGGGCCTTAGGTGAGTTAGAATATTAGAAGGAGGAAGAGGAGGCTGCTAATCTCAAGAAGCAGAGAACCCCAGCTAAAGGACCAGAGACAAAACATACCCTTCAAAGTTTTCTTTTTAATTTCACTTTCCACAATTTCTACTACACCCCCAAGAGTGCACTCAATTGATAAATCAATGGATTGAACCACTGATTAGGTCTGAGCCTGCATGATCCAATCATCTCAGAAAATGACCTCATATACACCCTAATCTCCTAAGCACCTTGGTTTCTCATCAAGATTAACCATTATACCAAGTTTATTTATAAATGATGAAATACCACATCAAGATTTTTATTATATTCAAATCTGTACACAAAAACATTGTACATTTGGGACTGGAGGAGAGATGGCTCAATGGGGGAGAGATGGCTCAATGGGGGAGAGATGGCTCAATGGGGGAGAGATGGCTCAGTGGGGGAGAGATGGCTCAATGGGGGAGAGATGGCTCAGTGGGGGAGAGATGGCTCAATGGGGGAGAGATGGCTCAGTGGGGGAGAGATGGCTCAATGGGGGAGAGATGGCTCAGTGGGGGAGAGATGGCTCAATGGGGGAGAGATGGCTCAATGGGTGAGAGCTGGCTGCTCTTCCACAGGACCCGGGTTTGATTTCCAGCAGCAACATGGAAGCTAATTACCAACCAAAAATCCAGTTCCAAAAGAATCTGACACCCCCTTCTGACATCTGCAGTCATTGCATGACACAGGTACACTTACTTACATGCAGGCAATACACTCACACATATAAAATAAAAATAAAATATTAAAAAAAAGACACTGTATATTTAACTCAGAAATAATTTCTACTCAGTTTTCACTAGAAATAGATAAAAACTTATAATCTTCTTCCAGGAGTTACTATTTTATTTTCTACATATAATTTCCCTCATAGTTAAGGTACCTGTTGCTGGTCAGTGTTTTGATTATGTGATCAAGAATGAAAATAATTTTCTAGTAGAAAGTGACTTTTACATTCATTTCTAAAGTTTTAGCCAAAAATCAATGGTAGATAAAAAATAATCATCAAAAGAAATTTACTTCCCAATTTGCCATTTGAAGATATATTTGTATATCCTTTTAGATACAGTCCTGGGATACACCTTTAACCCTTTGACCAATGCCTTTGGGCATACCCTTTACATCAACATGAACAGTAAACCAAGCTTGGAAAAGAGAATTATTCAAGTCAGTAAGATTTTTTCCCTTAAAGTTTAAGACCTGGGGGAAGAAAAACTAACAAATTGGATGTTAAAACACTTTACCTATTGGCACAGTGATCTTTCTTTTCTTGAAGTCTGGTTTAAACACAAAACAGCCCTATTTAGCAAAAAAGAAAGAAAGATAAAGTCAAATTAGGCATAGAACAGGCAAATCTAAATTATTCAAACACTATGGATAAACAAGTTCTTAAAAAGAGAAGCAGGGGGTGGGAGAATGGGTTTCTTTCAGTTTCTAAGAAATCGTATCACATTTCTTTGAATTACAGAAGAAAAAGTGTAAACAATTATCCATTCTTTCCACTCAGTCCCATGAGTTGCTCTCATGTACCTCTGACTTGATTTTTTAACAACTGCAATAAGAGGTAGACAAAGAAAAATCAATTTTTAAGTTCAAGTTCAATTTTTATAAAACTTAGATGGGAAATAAAGATTAATACTATACATTAAAATAATGATTAAGAAAGTTGAAAACACTGCTCCTTTCCCATTCCAAAAGAAGTATGTCTCATTTAATTAAAACTCTAGCCGGGCGTGGTGGTGCACGCCTTTAATCCCAGCACTCGGGAGGCAGAGGCAGGCAGATCTCTGTGAGTTCAAGGCCAGCCTGGTCTACATAGTGAGTTCCAGGACAGCTGGGGCTACAGAGAGACCCTATCTCAAAAAGACCAAAAAAAACCAAAAAATCCTCTAAGTGTCTACAATCTTGAGATAAATGATAAATACATAATTAGGCTCTTGTTTAGTCTTTTCAATTTATCATCTCTTAGCTCACATGTTTAATTCCAGCACTTGGGAAGCTGAGGCAGGAGGACTGCTGTGAGACTGAACCTAGCTAGGCTACACAGTGAACTTTAGGCCCCTGGACCACAATGAACATATCTCAAAAAAAAAAAAAAAGAAAAGGTTAGGCCTAGTGGCAGACTGTAATCTCAGTAGTGGAGGCATAAGAATCAAGAGTTCAAAATCATCCTCTACTGCATTCTGAGTTTTCTTCCAGCCTATCTACCAAACCAAACCAATCCAACTCATATCTTCTAGGCAATCTCCCTAGATTCTCTGGTTAGAAATACTCCTGAGATCTCAGCATTCAAACATCTTTATTTTGCTTTGACTCCCTGAGTAAAGTGTGAGGACCTTTACAGTACAGTTGCATTTTATTTGTAACTGTTTCCTCAGTGGTTATGACAGCATTAATAAATACATTAGGCAATCGGTACACAGAGTGAATGACTACTTGCTAGGTAATTTCCTAGCCACATTCAGTGTCCTATTATTAAACATGACTAGTGGCACATAGCTCTTAAGTTTTTTTCAGGGCTGCCTTTACTGATTTCCAGGTCCATAAGGAAAGGATGCTGTGATAAACTTATCATGGTATAATCTCTGGTGTATTCTGCCAAACTGAAAGCCAACTTCATGGATAGCATCTTCTTTAAGAAATATTTTTATTTTATGCATATGAGTGTACTGCCTGCATGTAAGTGCACCCATGTTGTGTAATGCCTGCAGAGGTCAGAAGAGGGTGTTGGATTCCCCTGGAACTGGAGTTACAGATAGTTGTTAGCCTCCATGTCCATGCTGGGATTCGAGCCAGGGTCCTTTGCAAAAGCAGCCAGTGCTCTTAACTGCTGAGCCATCTCTCCAGTCCCCACTGATAGTTTCTTAATATTTCTATTTATAGAGAAAATGAAAGAATAAAAGAAAAATGACAAAAAGTCACCGCAGGATATTAAGACAGGTGTGCAAAATATAAAGTGGCCATGTGCATTACAAGTTACAAATTAAGAGCTGTGCCTTATAGTTTTGTATCTGCAACCAGTAAAACTATGTGAATTACATATTTTTAAAAAGTGTACAGTACCGTGACAAGCTCATCACTGCATTCTTTCCCTATGGACCTATAAATCAGTAAAGGCAGCACTGAAAGAGCAAAATATAAGGAGTGCCAGAATGGATGTTGCTATAATGGATACTAACACAAGAATAAGAATATAAGCAATGAGTACTAATATAATCAATGGATAGTAATACAGTGATATGATTAACCACTTTGAACTGCTAGTTATGTGACAGTGTGTGAGAGGAAGGAAAAACACTAGGTAGGCCAACAGCCAAAACAT